TACATTATTAATAAGATTCTGCTATTTTCATGCTCTCCAAGTACTATTAAAAAAATTAACGCCAACGCAGTAAACGTAATAAAAATATCTACTTATCGGTGATAAAATAGATAGACAGACAGACTGTTTTGAAAGAGCTAAAAAACTTCGCACTCACAATCGTCGTCAATCTACATTACCAAAGAAATTATCTGCTCCGGTTCTGAAGATTTCTTCATCAAAAAAATTCCATCGCTACTCAAGAGGTAACAACCCTTCTGATAACTCATAGAAATCTACAATCTCTCCTTTTTAAATTATTCTACGTTTACTCAATTTATAATTCTTGTCAAGTTTGATACGCTTCGACTTAAATCACAAAATATTTCTTAATCTTTTAAGGTTCCCAAGAATATTATCCTAGCGAGATATAGTCTTTTATTTTTCAAAAAAGAAAGAAAGGAAGAAGAAATCATAAATCTTTTAAATTTATTCTTTTATCACGGTTAACGTCAAGATTGATCAAGTTCAAGCTTGGAAAGTAGAAAATAGAGGAACGTGACAATTTTGCAAGCATTATTTTTCGAAGATAGAGCATCGATCGGGTGAAATTATGAAACTTACGGAAAGTGGAGTGGATCGTTCTACCTTCTAAGTAGTTCAATTATTATTTTCACTGACATGCAATATTTTTCTATGTCTCGTATACGAGATTCTGCTTCTCCAGTCATTTTATATTACAGCCATAACGAAACTGTACAAAAACTTTCAAAATACCAAAAAAGTGGGGACTCTGATATTTCTAGCGTTAGTTACGATAATACAATATCATTAAAATTATCGTCGCACAGCCGTTCGAGTAAGTTACTCGACGATCGCGTATCAGTGCCGAGCGATAAGCGCTGTCGATAAGAAGGAATGTCCTACGTCGACGAATCAGTTTACAATTATGCAAATCCTTACCTGTTTCCTCGTTAATACGATAGATCGGTACTCTATATGCCATGCGATACGTGTCTCACCTTCCTCGTCTCTTTAATCGCTTACGTAGGAATTTCAATAATTCCCTAACGCGATCACGAGCCAGAGGAAATCACTATCGTACGAGAAAATCATTATCGCTCGAATGCACGAGCTGTGCGAATGCACGTGATGACGGAGGCTTGACTATACCATTGATACACGTGGCGTACTCTAATCGCAATGGCGCCTGCAGAATCGCGATAATCAATGAACGTACAAAAATAACAACTCTCCAGTGCAACGTATACAATTTGTTTCCATAATCACACGCAGAAATTACACGTGGCAATTTTTTGCTGCGCTCGAACGATTCGCGCCAGCATGGAAGACACGTCATTGTTGTTGTACATGTTGATAGTTTCTTGTAAACTAAGATACGATACTGTGGCGCGTGGTTCTTCTTTACGATAGATTTCGAGATTTTCGTTGATTATTCAAGATTATTTGATAATTATTGGAAAACGATAAGATTAGATGGGAAAGCTTGTAACGTGAGTTTGGTTTATTCTACGCAAGATTAGGTGAATCGTATTACAAACGATGTTTCAAGCCGATTCTTGCACGATTGTTCGATAATTTCTGTTACGCTACAGATATTTATTCATTTTGTTCATTTTCTGTCACTTTGTTTCACTGTACGACGATTTTGTTGATTTGTACGACGCTTTTTAGTTCGTTCGATTTCATTTTGAATTCGATGGTCTTTATCGTGTTTGAAGATCGTAAAGATTGTAAGAAAGCTTTAATTTTGTGTCGTCCGACGTATTTTTGTAATCGAATTCGAACAACACAACTTAATTATCGATAACACGTTATTCCTTTCGTAATCGACACGTATATCTTAATTGTATTGAGAAGTTTCGTATTTTGATATAGAAAAATTGTTAATCGTGGAAGGATACGAAGACCACACGAGAAAAACATCGGCCCAGTTTCATCGATTTTCGTGTCTTTCTCGCTTAATCACACAAAATGTAATATTCTAGCTATACGATAAAGGAAATTGTAGGATAATGTTGATAATATAGGAGTATTCAATGGTATCAAATGTAAGAAATGAGAAATGTAACTGTATGTCTACATGTAAGTTATTATTCCAGTAACTTCTGCGAAATGAGATTCTTCCGGAACGATTAAGAAAACAGCTGAAAATATTGCAAGGTCGAAGTCATAGGAGCTGTAAAACTGATAGCCTGTACTATTCTGGCTATCCTGTCTGCAATACCAGTAATGCAACGAACATAGACGAAGTATCGATGTTGCGAAACCCGTTACACGAGTCTGTTTATAAATACAATATCATTTTTGCCGTTTGCATAACCAGTCGGCAAAGTGATCAGAAATAGACGAACATTAAAAAAATCACAACTACAATCCAACAAACGATCAGTTTACTTCCTCAACGTTGCATTCGTCTTTCAGAGTTCCAAAAAAAAAAAAAAAAAAAAAAAAAAAAAAAAAAAAAACATAAAAAAGAAGGTAGAATGCTATCTGATTTGTAATACCCGCGGGACCGGTATTTATCACACGTCCGAGTGCGCACGTACTTTCAAAGTGGTGAAAAACAGCCGCGATAGCGGACTCGTTGACGAAACAGGTAATTTGACACTGGTTTTAGTCATTGAAAAATTTTCTGGATCACCTATTTTCATCGTTACCAGTCCGCTCACTTCATTCTTCGAGCATTTGTTGTAGCAAGTAACGCATCTCTGAAATCCATCGGTTCTACGATGACTCAAAAGATACTTCCCTTGTCTTGGGACAATACACGAGTACGTTTGGTCGTTTCTCGAAGAGAGGGAAGGGCAGACACTCGAGAAAACGATACAACCGTGGATATCTCTTGGAGGAAAGTAAATTTGATGTGGCGTAACGGTTGGACCGGGATACCGAGGTCCTTGGAAACGACGATGCTCCAGTCGATGCGATTATCTGAAAAAGTATCTATTGCGTAATTGTTCGCAAAGTGGCAACAGGAGAGGGGCAGTGACGGTAGCGGAAAGACGAGCTTAAAATAAACGAAACAAACGTTCAACTTTTTACTTAAAGAAGAAAAAGTTTCCCGGACACGTTTCAATTACACTGTCGAGGTAAACCGATACGAATGCTGACGACCCGTAAGCCGATACCATCTACAATCACGTTCTCGTTATTTTAGATTGTAGGTCTTTACCAATCGACAAAAACCAAAAGAAAGAGAACAAAAATTGTGGAACTGCTGTATCGGCAGAGTATTACGTTGCAACGTAAGTAAACTTGCTTAAATAAAGGAAAATATTGAGTTTAACCGAACTTACTTATATTACAATGCGATATTATTGCGTATGACGAGAATCATATTCGAGGAAGGTTTGTGTAAACCATAAAAATCGGGATCAAAACAGTTGCATATTTTGGTGAATGGAAGAATCTACGTAACAAAGATTAAGCGAAAGAAAAATACATACTGTTACCGTGTAAACAAAGTATTAGCTATCGCATAGCGAAGATTAAACTGGATAAAAGTAAATATTAGAAAAGAAAAATACACAAAACTGTTATACAAACAAAGTCTCCTCCATCGTGAGACAAATTCAACCGCACTGAAATTCGAGTAGATCAGATAAACCGAAAAATAAGACTCTTCCTTATTCTCATCCAACGAACAGAAAAACCTGTCCAATATTCGTATATTTCACCGGTATCGCCTAATCAAAGTTCAATGGAAGGAATCGCGTTCATAGTGGGACGTCACCTCCTAAATCTCGAGTGGAAACATCGGTCGTTATCTACCCGGCTGTTCGCACCCCCCATACGAGGTTTCTATGAATAGAAACGTCGAACAATCTCTCTGTAGCTGGACGATAATCGGAATTGGTACGATCGTCGGAAAGAAACGAGGGTAGGAGGTCGATCGAGCGTCCCCTGTTTCCCCTCGGCGTGTATCGCGAAAATACGCGGACGTATTTATCGAATTTATCGTACTCGAGACGAAATACAGCGCGATTAACCAAACCGCGACCACCGCCACCCCTTTGTCTTCCACTGACCAAGGAACAATCACATTCTTTCTAAATTATAACGCATACGAAGACTGCAGGAGAAGAACGCGATACGTTTCCTATTTTATCACGTTTCCTACCGTTTTCAGGCAAATAATTTTGAAATTCGACATATCGTCGATCGATGCCATTATTTCACTTTGGATGCTAAAACGTACGAATTTACGTTTTTAATTTACGAGGATAAATACTATTTTCCTAAGATTTCGTTGTATTTCATGATCTTTGTCTGCGACAAATATTAGACTATCGATGTATGAACAGAATATGGAATACAATAGCGGAATATCGGAACACTAACGAAACTTCGTCGATTCATCGGCTATTTTTCAAAGACAGATCCTAACAGAGCCTAACAAAGTATCTTCGTTTTGCCTCGTTTAATCGTAGAATGAAACTCGAAACTCAGTGCATCAACGAACATAAAATATCACGCTCCTTCCCTTAACCTTCGTATCTACTCACGCGTTATTTTATCCCTCCGTCTCCTGGCACAGATCTTACGTACACGTGTCCCAGGTATCTGATGAAAAATCGAGGTTGACCTCGAGGAACTAAAAACACTACAGACGTTCTATGACAGTTTCACGCGAATCAGTGATAAACTTGGTATTTTACGGTCGTACATTCAATTGGACGACGGACGTAAGAGATAACCAAGTTCACCTGGAGAATATGACTAGGCTAGCACGTTCGGTTCCTCTGTACCGGCCAAAGAAACGTGACAGAGATCGAGCGATCTCGCTCCATCGACCCCTTCTCTCGATCTACTATGAAGCACACACGAGGACGCGTACCACCAGCAGTCCGACGTGACCTCCCCCTTCTCTATGATCGCGTTTGACGCTCCGCCACCTACTCCTCTGCTGATCTTTTCCCCTCCTTCGAGCTGCGCCTCCTTATTGTTCCACTCCTCTAATCCGTGAAATCTAGAACAAGAACCGCGTGGCGAGGCTAGCCGGTACCAGTGGCACCGAGGAACTCGGTACCAACGGAGGTCTCATCTTCGGGAACGAGAACCGCGCTCCCTCTCTTTCTCTTTTTCTCTCTCTTTCTCTCTTTTTCCTCTCTTTTCGTCGTCGTTTACGATACGACCACGTTGAGCACGTTCTCCGATAACGAGCCCCACGATCGGCAAAAGTGCGCGTATAAAACCGATCCTGGTCACCTGGAACACCTAGTCCACCGGTACACCGTGTCCGGAACACATCGTCTCCGTATCTCCGAAGATTCACGTTTCCAGTTTAGGATCTTCGAATCGAGCAACTCCTCGAACATTCGATCGGCCGAAGAATATTTGTAAAAGTTTCGTACAGTTCGAAGAGTGGACTGATCAAAGGCACGTGTCGTGTTTACCAGTGAACGCGATACCTTTCGACCAGCTTTCGTGAATTAAGGGAACGACGATAATCCGTCACTGTGTCGTTCGACTGGTTACCAGTGGGAATTACACGTAGCTGTCTTTTCGAAGAAGCGAAAGTTATACCATTCGCAATGCCACGAAGCGGTTGCCGCGCGAAAACCACCATGTTTGGAAGAAGCAGAGCGAGGACGATAGTCCTGGTCGGCCTGATGTTGCTCACGCTTCTCGACACGGTTAACAGCACTCCTTACAAGAGGTCCTTGCTCAGGCTATGCTCGAAAAGTCTCAGCGACGCTCTGTACCTCGCGTGCAAGGATCGAGGTTACAACGAGCCGTTTTCCTACAGCAGCGAGGATAGTCCTATGGATTCCGTGGGCCCGGGACTCGCGGAGGAGTGTTGCTACCATACGTGCACCTATACCCAGCTGCAACAATATTGCAAGCCGGAGAAGTCCAGTTCCGTGGACGCCGTGTGAGTGGATGTTAGTTTCTCCTGTTTTTCTTTTGGTATTTTTCTACTCTGTAAGCTACGAAACTTTGTACACGCTATTTTCCTTGCTGCGCCGCTTCTGCACGACGGTTAGATAGTTATTTATCGGTTGATCGACTTTTCGACGAGTAAATTGATCCCTTCCCTCGAGTTTCTGGGTTTTAGCCGGACGAATTATTAAAAGTTTGATAGTTATCAGAGGTTTCGAAGATTTCATTTTTAGACATGGTTTTTGACAACCGTGCGTCTTTCTTTGGCGCGAACGTTTCTTCTCAGTTTAGTTTTCACGTATAAATCACTAGATTTCTCATACGCTTTATTCTTTATTCGTAATTTTGCATATTTTCATAATCTTCGATATTAGATTCTAGAAAACGAATCTTTTCGTAGATAGTGATAGTACTTTTCAGTTACGATCTTTTGCTTTTTTCTTTGTTTGCGAAGCGTTTGAAACGTTAATCGAACATTTGAAACTTTAATCTATCTGCTGCGGCGCAGTTAATTTTCTCCTTCGACCAAATTAAAATTCAATTCAAGAGACATTCGCAAATCTTCTGGTGGTTTCATCGATGGATCGATGAAACGAAACCAGGGGATCGACGTTATTCTTGTTGTCGATTATGGTCGCTTACCTCAGACTTTGTTAACCTTTCCAATAACATTATAATTTCCAATAACACCTCGTCTTTGCCTTGAGGACCAATCTTCGCCAGACGTGTTTAAATATTCAACGCGACGATCAATTTCTTTCCTGTCTTGGCCGGAAATCATCGACTTCGCGGGATCTAGCCGATTTAACTGTTAAATTGACCCGTTCAACGTCTGAATATTCCATTATGCAAAGATTTTTGCAACAACTTCCAACCTTCGACTCGCCTTGGGTTTTTTCCAGTGATTTCGGCTGCAATTATCGGCCATGAGATTAATTTCCCAACGACCTCGTTAACATTCCAAGTTCGAAATAGCTTCTGCGACTCAATTTCTTCTTTTACTTCTGTTATTTATTCGTATATCGTGCTTCAGTTTTATTTCTCTTTCGATGCGCTCGTTTATCAATTTATTAATAACACAAGGAAGTTGTTTTTCGCAAAGATCGTCTTATACAACGAGATGAATTTAAGGGAAAGCAACGTTCAATATTTTTCGATGAAAATCGACTTTACGATTCCGAGTTTCTGATTCTAGTCGATGAATTACATGGGACGTAACTCGGATGTATATTTAAATCGATCTTTGATAAGCAAGATCAACGTTTCGACTTTATCTTCGAAACATTTAGCTCAGCTGTCGAAATCTCGAACCAGATATCGTCTATTCAGTTCATCGATCCACTCGTTACCAATATGAACAAATATAATATTTTATTCTTCACTGAAAGTTATTCCAAATCCTTATAAATTAGCAAAAATTTGAGACAAAAGTGTATTCACTTTCTAACGCAAGTGTGACAAATCAGAGCACCCGATCGATTTGCATTATTTAATTTTATTTCAAAGAACCATCCCGGATCAAGGAATTATCTCAAATAACTAGCAAATATTTTCAAAAATTCGTTTAAAAGATATCTGTTCGATTACCAATTGAATCTCGATAGATCAAAGCAGTATCCGAGGTAACTCTCTCTACTTCCAAAAACACCAACGAACTATCATCGCGAATTATTATTGAAATTATACCCTCAAGAATTTATTTGACAAAAATCCATAAACCAAACGTATTAGAGGCACTCGAAGCAGCATCCATAGGTCCCAATTCGTATTCCTCGATCACGTCAAAGATTTTAATATATCTTGACGGAAATTTATGCAAAAAAATACGTATTCTGTCACTAGACTAAGATCGACAGATCAGAGCAGCGCCCATAGGCAGAATTCGTAGCTCGTAATCGGCATTCCATCAGTCATTGGCTCGAGTACGATGAGAATCGCGAAAAGCACCTATTTAACCGCCTGCCATCGGCGAGCTGTTCTTCCAATCAGCTACTTGTTATTCTTTCGTTCCTCACGATAGAAGGGAATTCATCTCGGTGGACTTTACCACGTCGATAGTAGGTGGCTTCGCAGAGCCGTGGTTATTAGCCGGTCCGGCCGGTTCAATTGTCGCAGAGAAACCGGGAGAGACGAGGACAGAAGGCTCGAGAGCGGCGATTATCAGCCGCTCCATGATAATCTCTGTCGCTTTTCCTAAAGTTCACGGTTGCGTGGAGTGGCCTCAGCCAGGAAGGTTAGTCCGAAGTACTAGGACGATCGAGCGCTATCTCTTTCGTCGCTCGATCTACAGTTTTTTTTTCGCGTCTATCTTGTTTCAACGATCGATAAAACAATCTTCTTCGCCTTTTTATTCTCATTCTTTTTCAATATCATCTCCCTCGTACTCTTCTCAGAAGATCTTACGCGCATGCGTGCAGCGTTCAAGCAGCTGGATTATCGATTTCGCGCCTATTGTTTATCGCAGATGTGACGAGGTACGCGCGAATCGAGTACTATTTCGAAACGTGAACCGCCGAGGACAATGAGTTGAAATGCAGCTATCGCTTCGATCAACCCGTTAATCGGGCGGCTGTTAAACCGTCATTTTTAGATTCTTAACAACTTGGATATAATATTCGTAGATCTTCTATCTTAGAACGCATCGCGTCGTTCTTGCTCAAAGCAAAGTCTATTGTAATTTATATTTGCAAGGTGAAATCCATTTAACTGATATTAATTTGTTATTCACTTTTAGCTCTGTTACGGTAGAAGTTCTGCTTGAGGAATTACTCGATGACAGGATTATTAATGGAAACGCAATGTTTTTATCGACATCGTTGCGTTGGTTTAGGTTCGTTTGTCAAAATTGCAACGAAGTTGCTCGCATCTTTGGTTATTCGGTAGAGTTCGATTTTTACGTTGAATTTTGTTTGACGGAATTTAGGACCGCTTGGCGCTATTTCGATGGCTAAAATTTATTTCATACAGAGTGAACCGTAGTTTAGATAAAATTTTGTCTAATATATTTATTATGTAACTCTATAATTTGAAATTGTTTGCCGAGCAACTGGTTTATTTGTTAAATCTGTTAGAGCAATTACTCTTGGTTTTGACGCTCGTAAATCTACGGTTGAACTTCGCGGAGAAAGCTTCAGACAACGAGGCGATACTTTCCACCGTGATCGAGCAACGTTAGATACCTTACAGCAGCCCTAACATTCAATTTCTCACTACTAATTGATAACTATCGCAAACTAACGGACGCACTAACCAATTCTAGCGAATGTGCGATTTTTTACTCATTATTTTATCGCGTTTATGCTTGTGACGTAACGCGCCATCGCATGATTATTATTATCTATCAGCTTAACACGAGAAAAATTATTTTATGTTGTATGAATCATATTTTAAGCGAATAAGGAAAAGGAACCGAAAAATATGTACGTAAGTTCCAGAAAATGAGAATGTTAAACCTACGAACGAAATAAATGAATTTGAAAGGTTCGGTATTTTATAAACGAAATAACGAAAATAAAACGTCTATCGCCGCACGAAGTACATCGATAATTGTTATATTTATCAGTTGTTAATAATTAAGTATCGATATGTGCCAATCTCAGTGTCTTTCATCACTGGTAACATATTTTCTTACCAGCTTATATCAATAATTACACTAAAAGTTTATCTGAATATGTAAGACATTACGTTACATCACATTATAATTTTCAACTCTTTCATTTTTATATAATATCTATATCTTGCCGTAGTATCTTTTTAACGTAACTCGTTATCAGGCGTGGTTCTTAACCTCTTACATCCATTTCTATTTATTAGAAGATCGAAACGTTTATTTCTAGCTTTATAGGAAATATAAGCTTAATAATAATTATGCTATAATTTGTTTTCTCTGTTAGAACTCGAGTACCTATACATTCATGACTGTATTTAAAAGTAGAAAAATGATTATACGATATTCAAAAATACATGGAATATTACAAATAAACTATCGGTTATGATATCTAGTCAGAGCCTAGTTCTTTAATTTATCCTTACAAGATCGTGAACCTTCCGTAAGCGCTTGCAGTGTACTCATCGTTAATGCATTCATCGCGAGTACAAAGAATTTTCCTGATGTCGAATTTCTTTCTTTTTGTCGAATTTGATTTCGCGCGGTTTGCGAATAAGATTTAGTATCAAAACTCGATCGTACAATCGCTACGCCGGTGTAACCTACCTGTCTTTGAGAAAAGATTTTCTTACGTTTTATTTTCCATTGCATGGTCAACTTCATCAACGTCTTCTCAAACTTCTGACGAAGAACATTAATCGTAATTAAGAGTAACTTCGGTTGACTCCTCGTCGGACATGCACACATTGAAACACGATAATCTCTTCATGAATGATTTCTTCCACTCTAACGAGTATACTCTTTATAAGAAGTAATTACAGAATATAAAAATTCGAAACATCTCAGCGCATGAGAATAATCAGAGATTTCATGCAGCGAATAATTTATGGTAGCTTAACAAACCTCTTTATTCATTAATCAATCATCTGTCAAATATCTCACTGACACTTTTCTATTTCCTCCTTTACAACTACGAGTATTTCGTATTTCATGTATGTCCGGCAGGTTCGTTGCTCGAACGAATTAAGCGTATCGGAGAAACAAGGAAGTAAATGAATCTGCACTTTCTTGTTAATTAATCCTTCCAATATAAAGGATGGTTATAATCTTCCTTCGAATCTTGTTCTTCATAGTCGTAGATTTTATACTACATTACTTTATTACTATTTTCAAAAAATGATCTTACGGTAGAGCTTTGTAGCTCAAGAATGTTATACGTATATAATGTTCTTTAATGTGAAACGATATAATGATATTTACAATCTGATCTGATTTACAATCTATGACTGATCCGGAATTTAAAAAGTAAAGAATATTACACGTAACATCGTTTAATGAATTAATAATAAAAATAAAATACTTTTTCTCAAATATATGGACATTTTTGTCGCATGCGCATCTTCGTCGCGATGTTCATCGTGTTCTGCATTTATCGCGCTTTCGCTTCTAACTTCCAAGCTAAGATACGAAACAATTCAAGAAATAACGTTGCCGATTTTCATAATTCGCCACGTTTGTTTCTGTCTTTTACAGAAACAGCCCGGTCTGGATAGAAAAATACCCGTACCTGTCCACGAGGTCGGCAACCTCGTCGTCGTTGGAAGAGAGATCGAGGTCGGACATCGACTACGTCCACGGTACAATTAAATGTAAAATCCACGGGTCGAAGGGAGCACGAAAGAAGGGGGCTAACATGGACCGTGACGACGACGCCGGCGGCTGCGACAGGAAAAACCCGTTGAGAAGGCATCGCGCCGGCCATTGCGGCTGCAGGCATCGAC